GGGCTCTGCAGATATACTACATTGGCCGTAGTCTGTCACGACAATATCTCAAAGTGATGGTGTCCTCGCTGAATATGAACATCGCACGCACGATCAGGAGACATTACCCATCAATGGCAGTTGTCAATTTCCAAGCTATCACGCCAAGTATGGCAGTGTTCTTGGTCGTCTTGTCATTCCTTGGGGCCTTTCTTGTGGCCGGCTCTGAAGCATTCCAATGCTTGAAGGTCAAGATATTATCGCTCGTCGTCGCCAAGTCCTCCGGCGGCAGCTATCTCTTCACCATCACAGCCTCGACTCGACCAGACGGATAGAGCGGAGAGCAAGCTCCCAGCAGGTTTCCCGATACCATAACCACGATTCCAATGGAAATCAGAGTCGAAATTTGACAGGAATCAGTCTAACGCCGAGAGTAGCTCGAATTGCGCTATCAGGCTCACGGATGTCGCCATACCGACAAGGCTTGCCAAGCTATCTCGACCACTCCGAGAGCTCTGTATTTAATGTCTCCATGCCACAAGAACCACCATGTTCAGCCGTGTCCTCGGCGCCGCGAGAAATCTTGACGCGAACGTTCTTGGGCGGGCGTTCCTTGGACACTGCCGACGCAGTCACTCTCTTGGCTTGACGATTTTTGCTGGAGGAACGCCAAAAGTTTTGGCACATCCATGGCCACGATGCGTTTGCATTCTTGGCTTTCTGTCTACGATGGAGGAACATCTGAAAAATCTGATGATCTAGACGAAGTTCAGAATGGCGTGATGGGGATCCGGTAGCGGTTGAATCCTTACAAGAATGTAGGACTGTTCCCTTTCGAAGTCTGTGGCCGGGCAAAGGCCTCTTCGATCATTGTTCAGTATTACCTGCGAAAATGTCAGATTTTGATCCCAAGTCGGCGGAAGTTGTGGGTGAAATCCCTCAGATCGGCGAAAATGGCGAAGCTCTTCTCCTGGAGCGGGACTGGACAGTAGACGAAGAAGTCAAAGCGAAAAGGAAGTCAGTGTTTACATCGCAAGCTGGTCGACAATAAGGACTCTACTGACGAAACCACTTTTGCAGGATGGACTTCATTATCATGCCACTCCTCACGCTGGGCTTCTTTTGCCTTCGTACGTCTGTGTCCTGACTACTTGCCAATCTCTCCCTTAACCTAAACCTTCACAGAACTTGACCGCGGGAACATGGCCAATGCCATTACAGATAATTTCATGGAGGACGTTGGCATCACGCAAAACCAATTCAACGTGGGCCAGCAGATGCTGTCCCTGGGCATCGTGCTCTTCGAGATTCCCTCGAACATGATCTTGTATCGGGTCGGTCCTGGCAAATGGCTAACCCTTCAATTGTTCCTCTTCGGCACAGTGAGCACATTCCAGGCCTTCCAGAAGAGCTACGGCTCGTTTATCGCTACTCGTTTTCTCCTTGGAATGACAGAGTCTGGCTTCATCCCGGGTGGTCTGTGGACTCTCTCAACCTGGTACACCCGAAGGGAGACTGCGAAGCGTGTTATGATCTTCTACTTTGGGAACCAATTCGGTCAAGCATCCGCAAAGCTACTGGCATATGGTATTCTCCACATGCGTGGCGTTGCAGGTAGAGCAGGCTGGTTCTGGCTATTCATCCTCATGGGAAGCTTTACAGTTCTCAGCGGTCTCGTTCTAGGATTCTTCCTCCCCGACTCTTTCAAACGGCCTCGCAGCACTTTCCTACCTAATGTCAAGATCTTCACAGACAGAGAGATTCACATTCTCAACACTCGAGTCATGCTGGATGACCCGATGAAGGGCAAGAAGAAGAAACGCATCGGCCGAATCGCCTTCAAGAAGGCTGTACGTCCACCCATGATGATCTCCCATGTAACTCGATCTGACACGGTGTGCAGTTCTCTGCTTGGAGGTTGTGGGTGCACGTTCTCATCACCCTGGCGAACAATGGGCCGCAACGCGCCTTTGACACCTATGCTCCGACGATTGTCAGCAGTTTCGGCTTTGCTTCGCTGTCGGCCAACGCCCTTGCCTCAGTTGGTCTATTTTTGCAGATTCCGGTGTCATTCGCATTCAGTTATGTGTCGGATCATTTGTAAGTCGTCCGAAACTCGCATGGGGTTTATATGTGTGCTTACCTGCAACAGCTCGAGGCGCGGAGAAACAGTCATTGCTGGTCTCAGCATGCATCTCCTGGGGTACATCTTCAACCGCATCTTTACCGAAATCAACAATCGAGGATTGAGATACTTCGGTGTCGTCTGGACGCAAACCTTTGGCACTTTTTCACACCCTCTGAACATCACCTGGATGTCGCTTACTTGTGACGACTCGGAAGAAAGAGCTCTTGCGATGGCCATGTAGTTCTCTCTCTCTCAAAGTGTGAATGAAGAATGTTGTCTAACATTTTGCAGGGTTATCATGGGCGCGAACATTGCTGGGATCTACGGAGCACAAATTTTCCGGCAAGACGACCGCCCGCGATACCGCCGCGCATTCAGTGTCAATTGCTCTGTGCTGGCGTTTGGTCTGACCCTTGCAATTGGCCGACACATTGACGATGTCATCCGCCGCCGTCGCAACCGCCGAAGATTCTCTGCAGGGCGCGACAGCAACAGGGATCACTCGGTAGAGATCCTCGAGAGTGAGAAGAATGCCGTTACGCCTCTACCCGGTGAGGATCAGCCTGGACCAATCCCCTTCGAGAGAAGTCAGAAGCCAGTTATCTCCCACGGGCCGAGAGGTACAACTTGAGGCGCCGGGTCGAGGCCAAGTCAATTGTGCCCACTAGGGGCGAAGATTGAAGATTTGTGTGAAAACAGGATAGACATGGGTCTAGAGGATATCTTGTGGAAACACTTGATGACAGTGACATTCAAGGGAAGTCGTGGATATGAGACAGGGGTTTCGAGATCCGGAATAGGTGTTCGGGCACCAATGTTAGACACAGATGAGGTGTGCAGAAAAATATGCCGCTACAGATTAGGTAGCTTCATTTAGGAGCTTAGTCTATAGATATCTATTGTTGTGACCTTACTCCCATCCTTGCCTGTTTCACTGAAGTGCAGTGCTTAAAGTGCCAAACCGTTGCCTATCAAAATCTGCCTTAAAGGCCCTTTGGGCGGGTCGAAAATTAGGTTTGTCGGACAGAACTCCTGGGGCACCGATCGGGCGATTCTGGGCCAGGTCTTCTGTCAGGCGGAGCTACCTTTTCGATCTCTTTTTAGCAGAATGTAGCAAAACCCACTCTGATTCTCCGTCGAATTACTTCCACAAGGAGGACCTCCGGGCGTTCCCTGGTTGACCAAAGCAACTTTGATGCCCCTAGAAATGTAAACGGACATGACTAGCGATGTGGAAACCAGGAGAGTCAGCACCTCTTTCCAGGTTACATTTCCTTTTATTTGGAGATTCTACTATTCCATAAATTCGTGACCACTTAAATCTGTGTCCACCTGCAAGTCAATCAAGTGTGGACGAATCTAGCCATTGCTTCTCCTCCCCTCGGCGTCACCCAACATGAAGTCCACAGAGGTCATGTGGAGGACCAGGGCCGGGGCTACGTTCAACTAGATGGGAAACTTGAACAGGTTTGGCCAAGATGATTGATTACCTACCCACCCTTAACCTCAACATTTGTGGAGGAACTAAACAACTTTGCGCCTACAATTTGGTCGTCAATCATCTGCAGGCCAATAAGTCGAAATCCCAAGATTCTTCTTTTCCGTCTTTCGGCACCATCGGCTCTCCCTTCCGTTGCATGACCCAAGCCCAGAAGATAGTGGGTGGGTAAATACCGATATCTGGGAGAATCAGTCATAAGCCGTGTCGAATTTTATGTCTCCACGATATCCCGTCATTCTATATTGGAAATAGGGTATTTTCTCAACGCTTTGCAAAACCGGTACTTCCCTTCCGCGTTGGATGAGGATCCCTTTGCGGCGGGGCTGGGGGACGCTCGCGAGTCTGTCATTTGCGCAACGGTCGACAAGAGCGAACAGTACTCAAAGACCTGTCCTGATTGGATTTCATTTCAGGAATTTTGGCCTCGGCAATGAGCGGCTCACCGCCTGAAGTCGCGGACAGCGGGAAATCCTAGAGAGGTAGTGCATGCGAAGCAATGTTCAATGGAAGCTCAGTCATGCCCGGATTTGTGAGTACCAAAGCCCATCAAAAAGACCCTAGCCGCCCCGGGTACAGTAAGTAAAAGCAAAGCCCTCCGGGCACTTTCGCCGGTCTTGCATAGGGAAATCCAAGTTCGTAACGGAAATGGTCCATCATCATGATTGTCTATCGTTTGCGTACCAAGGTTCAGTACAAGCCACGCTTCGGGTTGCATTAAATCCGGAATGCTTGTACTTGTATAAAATATGTCCAACGTGCTGGCAATCCGAGAGCGGGAGAGTCTCCTTACTCGCTCACGTCAATGGTGGGGATAGACACTATTGACAACAGACTGATCTTAAGGCTCTCTCGCCATGATACCCTAGATTGCGTGCTTATAGTATAGTGGGACGAGGAAGCATGAATCCTTAAGGCGGCTGTCGTTCATGAGGTACACGCTCAGGTAGCATCTTTCTCTCTGTGAGATCGAAGGTCTCACTGCGAGGTCTGTCCAACTACATGGGGCGAAGTTTCCTCTCTGACATACCGTAGCCCACGAAAGCAATCCACTTTCTTCAGGCTCGTTCAGAATCAGATCCCACAAATTAGCTTCAATTCTCCACTCCTCTGCATCCCAATATCATGTGCTATGCCAGTGAACTGACTCAGGAGCTTTTCGGTCATGGCTTTGCGAGTAACGACCTTCTCTCAACTCCCAAGTTTCCGCCGCCAGATGGAGCCGCGGGATTCGGTTAACCTATACAGGCAGCAGACGCAATGGTATTTAGATTGGCTCTTTTGCCTCTTGCACTGCATTAGGGAGAGCTTTCCTATTTTTGTGTATCGAAAATTTACTTTGCACAGACTTTCGCGCGAAAAAGAGAAGGGGACACAAGTCAATAGAGTTTCAGAATGGCGGCTCACGCTCGACAATTCAATTGGTATAATTTTTGGATCTGCTGGCTGGTCTCGCTTGGCCAGATAGCGTTTGGCTATCCTGCCTCCATCATTAGTACGACCCTTGGCGAACCAAGCTTTCTGGTGTATATGAAATTGCTGGACCCGACAACGGGGTTGCCGTCGAGCGATGCAGACCAACTCGAAGGTGCCATGTCTGGCGTTTTCCAGGTTGATTGCCTTCCCTTACCCTCGAGCCTCTTGGTCAACTAAATGCATCGTCTAACTATGGACAAAGGCAGGAGCCTTTTTCGGCATCATGATCGTGAGCTATATAATGGACAAGTGGGGCAGAAAGGCGGGTGTCATCTTCTGCTCGTTCTGGTCCCTCCTAGGCGGCGCTTTGATCTGCGGTTCGAAAAGCTCGGCCATGTTCATTGTCGCAAGGTTCTTCGCAGGAATGGGAAGCTGGGGCTATCTTGCAGTCAGTGAGTTGCAGATGCACCAACCCGATGGTAAAAGTCGTTAACTGATATGTCGCAGCACCGGCGTACAGCGCTGAGCTTGCTCCACCCGCACTCCGCGGTTTCTTCGTAGGACTCAACGGAGTAAATATCGCCGTCGGTTACTCGTTAGCAGCCTATACTGGTATGGGCTTCTTCTACGTGAAAGGGGCCCAAGCTCAGTGGCGTGGTCCATTGGGCATCGCTCTTTTCTTCCCTATCGTGATGCTTGTGATGCTCCCGTTCATCCCAGAAAGTCCCAGATACCTGCTCATGAAAGGCCGCGTGGAGGAGGCGGAGAAGACTGTACTGAGACTCCACGCCGTCCCGGGGGATGACGACCAAGAATTTGCACGGGGCGAGTTCTACCAAATGCAGAAGCAAGCCGAGTTCGATCGAACCTTGTCAGTTTCATGGGCAAGTCAAGAATTCCCCCTTCGCTTGTTGATTCACAACTGACATTTACCGCCAGTGGGACGTTTTCTTCAAGAAGTCCTATCGCCGGCGAACCATGCTAGCGGTTGGCTTCGCCTTCGTGGGCCAGTCAACGGGCGTGCTCGTTATCAATAACTACGGTCCAACGCTGTACAAGAGTCTCGGCTACGGCACGGAGGACCAACTCCGGCTTCAGTGCGGTTGGATCACCACTGCTATTATCGGAAATGCAATTGGAGCAACTTTCATGGACCGAGTTGGCCGAAAGCCTCTGATGCTCTTTGGGGTTGGCGGATGCTGCTTCTGGCTCATTATTGAAGCAGCCATTGTCGCCAACTTTGCCGGGACCGACAACACCTCCGCTTTGGCCATGGGTGTCGCAGCGTTATTCCTGTTCGAGGTTGTCTACAGTTGTGGAGTCGACGTGGCCGGGATAGTGTTCTACAGCGAGTTATTTCCAAACCACCTGCGAGCGAAAGGTAGGGGAACACTTTTGACGAGGTACAAAAAATATCGTTTGCTAACTGCGTCTAAATAGGTGTTTGTCTGTCCATGGCCGTGGTTGCGCTCACCGACCTTGTGTATTTACAGGTCACAGCCACTGCATTTGCCAACATCGGTTGGAAGTTCTACCTGGTAAGTAATTCCTGATTTTTCTATTCTGTCGAGGAGACCTCTTCTTTTGCTCTCCGTCAACCTCATCCCAGCCCAAGTTGCAAAAATGCCCAGACCAAAAAAACAAAACAAAACAAAGAGGAATAGCCCCCCTGACTCCTATCCTTTAGGTCTTTATCATCGTGTGCGGCCTCGGGACCATCACCATGTATTTCCTGCTTCCCGAAACGAAGGGTGTCCCCCTCGAGGAAGTGGCCAAGCTCTTTGGCGACACCGACACGATCATGGTCTACGCGGCAGACATCCACATGGACCACAACACCCACGAGCTTGTCGTCAGCGGTAGAGAGTGCGTCTCAACACACCCTGCCACCGTGGTTGACATGTCCAAGAGCGCTACAATCACCACCGAGAAGGGAGAAGAGGCGCCCCACGCCGAGCAAGTCTAAATCTATGAAAAAGTACGATAGTATGCAACGTAGCGGCATCTCAGCTAGAAATTGTGAAAAGAGAATTTTAGAATAGAATCGGGTCTAGACACTACTATACTTTTTCATAGCCGTATCCAGTATCTAATAGATGATACCTCAAAGCCCCCGTTGTTGGAAATACTATTCACATTGTTTTTGAGTGTGTATGCACAGAGCGTGAGCGGATTCTGTTTGGGGGACACCCCCGAGAACCAAAAGCTCAGAACCTGTTAGGAATGAGGCTGAAATCAGCAAAAAGGGACTATTAACGTGTCTTCTTGGTGGCACCCCCCCAGATTTCTATTCGTGCCTCTCCGTCTCATTTCAGGACAGGGTACCCATGGTGCCCCACCATTCATGAATTAGCACCTTGCAAGATACGCGAAAGCTCTTGGTCAATAAAAGCCACTGGTAGGCATGGGGAACAGCACCTCGCTTTGGTCAAAATCAGGGGTTTCAACGTTGTTCCATTGCAGACACGTTTTACCTCTTACAACGTTTGTAGGCAGAATACGAGTAAGGGCGACCTCTGCCTTTTCCTTTTCCGTCTAATGAGGCCGAAGGCGTCTATACCCATGTACCCAAACGGCCATCATAGCCGGTCCGTGCCGCTGCCGTACAATGCATCACGGGGTTGAATAGCGTTGCGATCGGACTATGCTGCCGAAGGTTGAGTTGTGGATCTGTCTTGTTGATCGTGTTCTGTCCCCCTGGCTATTCAGAGAAACTCTGCATATATACATTGGCCTGTAACCATAAGAGCATTCCTGAAATCTCCTATTCCGTCGCCATCCTATCACAGGTCTGCAGGAACAACGAGGTTGAGGCAGTTTGCGCAGTTGGTGAAGCGCCTAGCGTCTCAGGTGGTTTGCCCCAGTGGTGCTCTCGCGACCTTGTTAACACTTGGCCCTCCCTCCACACATTGTAATGGGAGAAGTTGGAAGTGGTGGACAGAGTTATGATTAGCTGGGGCGCCGACCCTAGACTATGGTTCTTCTTATATAGTTCTGGGGGACTATCTTTCATATACAATACATAAGCAACCAAGTTACCAACAGAGAGGACTTCCCCTAGTTGAGTGTGCGCGTTGAGAAGAGACCATACCCACCGCCGTACGAGTTGATGCCCATGGCTAGTAGCCTCGCCCCAGTTCAGTGGTGCCACCAATAAGATCTTCGACGAATACTTATAGATGGGCGTCTCTCTACGAGCGGTGGGAGAAAATTACGAAAAACAACTGAAATAAACTGCTTACTGAACTAATAGAACTGAAGAACTACCTACCTATCTATCTAACTAAATCTAGAGAAACTAGCCATATATATAGAACCGCTGCGCAGGGTATACTATTTAGATCACTAGCTAAGTAAGTCTATCCCGCTATACGGAGCGATTTACGCTGGCTATTTATGAAGACCGCTGCTCGGGGTGCCTTTTAGGATTACTAGCTATATATATTTACTACCACTATATAGGGTGGAGACCAACGACTTAACGACTATTTAGACTACCTAGAAGAAATAGGAGAGAAGTATCTCCTAGGAATATGGGAATACGTTTAACCCTAAAAACTTCTAACTTAAGAAGCTTAGAAGGAGTCGAAGAACGCGGATCTACTTAAGAAATGATAAAAATAAGCGGTTAAACTAGACTCGTTAAAATAAGCGAAGTTAAAGCGCTACTAATCGGGAAGTGAATCTAGGATTTTAATGAAAATTACTAGTGAAGATAAGAAAGAAGCTCGATAAGAAAGTTAGTGAAGAGATAAAGAGAAGAAGAGGAGAAATAATAATAAAATAATAATAAAATAATAATAAAATAATAATAAAATAATAATAAAAGTACTAAAAATAATAAAATATCTAAATCTTTTAGTTTCGCTATTAAGATTTTACACTATTTCGATTATAAGAGAAGAAGTAAGAACGATTTAATAAAGGAAAATATCGTCTACGGAAGAATCGAATAATAAAGAAAAGCTAGGGTCTTCTACGATATTAAGTGTTAGCTTATAAGATTTATCGACGTCGGATTCGACGATATAATCGTTATACGTTTCTCCTACCGTAATATTAATAAGAGAAATGTCTTAGAGCTTAAATAGAAGTGATAATCTTTTATACTTTAATAGAAAGAACGCTATCTCTTTCTTCGAAGAGTTTAAAGAACTATATAAATATAATTAAGTTATATTAAGCGAAGAACGTATTCGTAGATCTATTCGCTTTATATTTAAAGTAGAGAAAGAACGCTATAAAGAGCTCGCTAAGTATAACATAATAAAATAGAAAAAGTTTAAAGAGAAGATCTTAAATAAATATAAAGATCGGAACGAAGTATAGCGAATAATGAGTATTTAATATCTTTAGGCACTCGCGAAGTATTAACGGAAGAAGTCTTAAAGTCTAGAGCTATATCTCCGTTAATTCCGTAAGGCTATAACTTATCTAATTAAAACCGAAGCCGAGACTAACTATACTTACTATCGTCTTCTTTTATTAAAATTACTAAAGACTTATATAGATAAGATTCGAAAGAAATAAGATTTAATGAATCGAAAGCTAAAGAATTCGAACTTTTAGAAATACTAGAATTAAATAAAAGAACTATAAAATATTAATAATGAAAATAAGAAATTTATATAAGGAGTACTCGACGAGGAGTTCTAAGAACTAGCGTACGAAAGGGAGACTCAACCCTTAGTCGTTTGAAAGAAAGAATCGTAAGAATAACGTCGTCGTGACGATCGTACGGATAGTAAAACGAAGTTCGATAAAAATGCTTCGTCGCTAGTAAATCGACCTTCTACTCCTAAGAGAAATAATTAATCGGTGGAGGAATTATTCCGTTTAATGGGAGCACTAATACTATCGATCTAGACGCGAAACGCTATTACTCTAGACTTTATGACTTAATTAATTAAGATATTGAAAGGTGTTTCTTAGAAAGCGATTTAGCCCTCGCGCGGATAGTAGTTTTAGAATCGTTCGGTTCGATTCGAAGAAACGCTATAGTACTACGGTAAATAGCTAAGTTAACGAGGTTCGAACTTAAGTAATTCTAGAGAGAATTACTTTCTTTATAATTAGTCGGAATACGTACTACGAGATGATTCTTAGTGAGTATACTAGAAAGTAATAGGAGCGTTATATCTTAATCCGGAATATAGGATCGCTCTTAGAAAGTTCCGAGATTAAGATCGTTCTTTATTTACTCTATTAATTCCTACGAGAGAGATAAAGATAGAAAAATTAGAATGGGTTGCGCGAGAGATTAATAAGAATTCGGAAGTTACGTTCGAATGGCCTTATAGTATACGAAACTCTAATTTTACGTCACTAAAAGCGAGATTAAGTGTCGTTTACGTAGCCGAATTAAGATTTAATTACGCTGCTCTAGACGACTTTAAAGATAATTTCCGTATCTTAAATACTATAGATCTAAAAGGAATTCGTGTAAACTAGTCCTAGAGTAAAGCTTACGTAGATACTCTAGGAAAGCGTCTAGCTCTCTAATAAGACGAATATACGTAAGCGAAATATCCTCGGATTAGAGCTTACGAACCTTCGATAGAAGGACTAAGACGATATATAACGCGACGAACGAGATTTAATAAAGAAATTATATATAACGGAATCGTAGATAATTCGCTAGGTTCGATTAGCTCGACTAATTAGAGGTCGAGAATTTTTCTATACAATATATAGAATAAGCGGTTATATAATCTAATCTCCTAGAATACTATAATAGAAGATTCACTAGGGCTCTCCTAGCCTCGTTAAATATTATTACGTCCCCGGACTATAAAAGAGGCTACGTACGGACTATCTAGACCTAGACCTCTTCGAAAGATATTATCATAGAATCTAAATAGTGTCGGAAAGATCGTAAATTATCTATTAAACTAAGAGATCTTAATTCGAATAAGGAACTTACTATCGATAAAGAAGGTTCGGAACGAGTAGTTCTTCCGTAAATATTAATATTACGACGAAGATAAATAAGAGCTCGTTTATTAGGGTTATATCCCGAGAGATAGCGGCGTAAGACTTACGTAAGCGAAAGAGAAACCTACTACTAAAGTCGATACGATGTAAATAAATTTATTAGTGAATCGCTCGATTCGCTTAAGACTATACTATAGTGAGTGCCTCTATTTATCTATAAAGATAAGAGGCCGATATAAAGACTCCTTACTAAATATTGAAGCCGAGATTAATCTAATAACTCTCGCTTTAGTTAAAGAGATAGAACTATCTTAATATATACGAAAAGCTAAGTTTATTTACGACGCCGTAGACTTTAACGACGACCGAGAAAAGTTTATGAGAATAATTAAAGATTTTATGATTAGTATCGCTGAGATCGAGGTCTTAATAAATATTTATGTGACGAATACCATAAACCTAACGTATCGTTTTATCTTAGAAAGACTATTTTAGAAGGTAGCTTAAGGATTAGTCTGGGAAAAGGACGAGAATACTTATATTGTGGGTTTAACGAATAGCTACGTCGATAAGAGAGTATAAATAGTCGCATAGACTACTCCTAACTTCGATGAAGATCGAGATATATTCACGATGTTTAAGCTTATATACTTAGCCTCTTTAAAAGGCTAAGCGAGTATAAGACGATGAAGAAGTCTATACTCGCGTTAATAAGGACTTAGAAGAAATCTAGGACGCTAGCCCTCGACTTTAAGATAGACTAGGACGATAATCTAATCTCGGTAATGAATTCTTTCGTAATGGGCGACGACGACCTTTAGAAGCTATAGTTCTTAGCTAGATCTTTCAACGTATAGAATAATAAGTAATTCGTGAGATCGTCGAGACTAGTTAACGACGAAGCCTTAAGATAAGACCTAGAAAATGAATAGCGATATAAACGTCTTAGATTTAAGCGGCCGTTAGAAGCTCGGATTAATATTCTCTATAAGAGAAAAGCTAATAAGATAAAGTCTATAAATATCGATCGAT